AGTAAAGAGAACGTTGAATATAGCTAACCTCAATCTATCGTTCTCGACTCGATCTATGGTGATTCCTCAACAAAATGATAAGCTACCTGGTTCTGCTACATTTTTGTGTATCCACGACTTCATGTGCTCCGGTAGAGAAAGCTATATTGAGTTCTAAACCAGACAACTGAGTCAAAGAGTTAGTGTACACCTACTTTAGTGACCAGGAAAGGGTACCGTCATTCTATCACACTTGATCGATAGAGGTCATGTAGTAGAAGTAGGTCACTTAAATTGATTTGTCGTATTCTTACTAGTTTCCCCTATAAGGTTCGATCTCGTCTATTACAAATAGCAGAAGCTGTATGAACTCGAGGTAACAATCCAAACCCTTGTATTCATGAGAAACCAGTAACACTTTTACCCCCCCCTCTTGGCCTGAATAAATGATTTTATTTATTATTATTTTCCATACTATTTGTTCGTATATTTTTCGTTACCCCTCCCTCCTTTTTCCAAATATACGCTTCATTGTCCGATTACTTTGACACTTACTTACGCCTGTTACTCGTAATGAAGTATAGTTCGCCGACCAGCATTCTCCAACCCACACTATTTATTACATAATCCTATAGTTTTTATAAATGTTATTTCAGCACATTTGTGTTTTTCAAGTCATTGACGTATTACCTGTTATGTAACATTGATTCAAGCCTTTATTATTCTTATCACGACTAGTACACTTGTCATCATACTATCAATGTGTACTGTTTGAATATTTGAGCTATTCCACTATTATCATTGACTCATAAACTGTCTTGATTGGTTTTATTAATTGCGTATATGCAGATAAACATTACTCTATATTCGAGTAAAGCCTGATGAGGATCTAATGAAAAACAATATTGTTCTTCTGTATATGCTGTTCTAATTAACAATATGGGAATAAGAGAAACCAATAGGATATAATAACTTGTTTGCATTGGTGCAGGTGTATCCACTCTTTGTTCAAACCCTAATCTTTCCAATTACTGCTTATACTTTTACAATCTCTACCACTATGGGATTCGTATCGACAATTGTATCTGTCTGCTAATGTGGTATGGAAACTCGAACTAATGTACGTACCTACGAAGTTCCACGTTGTTACTGTCTGACTGACTTGTTAAATTATTCAGTTTGACTATAGAATAAAATTGAACTCTGTAGATGATTTCATACATTTCCTTGATTCTTTTCAACTGCTCATTACCTAGAAACAATAATAATCATTATGTAATATTAAAGAAGTTGAATAGGATAAAAGAAATCAGAATGGAAGAATGACATAATCACTAAAATGAGTTACGCTCATAAAACAAGCAAAGATTAAGAAAATAAGTTTATGATTAAGGTCATGTAATGAAGATAGAATTCACCTGGGTAGTTCAAGATCTACATCTTTATTCTTTTTTTGTAATACACAGGTTCGGAATCATTCTTTCAACTGAGATGACCTATATGTGAAATATAACAAATTCAAAGTTGTCTGAGTAGCGATTATTTAGAACAAAGTTGAAGTGCTAACAATGTGACCATTATCAGGTAAATGATGAGCAGATTCCCCATTGACCTTCGGTACGATTACACTTATATTGGCATCCTCAAGGGAATTAGTACTCAGACATACTATGAATATACATACTTTGTTCGATAAAGAACTTTATAGACAATGGAAGGTCGTTGCAATTGAATCATTACTGTGTTTCAACATAAACAGTTGTTAAGTTTGTCTTATATTGTTCCTACTCGCTCCTATTTCACTCTTTTGTATATTGTTTTATACTACTTATTTACATTCAGTAAGCAGTTGTATGCCCAACAATTTTCACACTCATGTTGTAACGCAAGTTGTAGTGTAATATTCTGAGATGTTCACATATACTTATAACGTTTATTGTACTTATCACTGTATTTATCGTCATAATTACTATACCTTAATCGTTGCGGCGGTTATCCACAGTTTTGTGCATTTGTTTAAACGCAACAGTTTCCATAATGTTTTGCTCTTGGTTCGGGTTTCGATTGTTTATAAACTGTTATCGAATTTAGACACAGCTATTAGCTGTCCTTTGTACTATCGTATGTTGTAATTATTCTTTGTGTTATTGTTACAGGAAGCCCTTTTATTGCATACTTGAAGGGTGCATTTAAACGCCCCAGACACCTCAAGAGTTGAGGTTTGTAACTAAATTTTGTGTATTATTCAATAAAGAACCGCTTTTGTAGACAAATCGTTGTTTTGGAAACTTTGATTTTGCGAGTATCTCAATCGGGGTTACTTGAACGCTTCGATAGAATTAACAACGGTTGATTTTTGAAAAACTCGAAAACAAACTTCTAAAAGTTAAGATAGACTAAATAGAATTTTCTCATTGCTATATAACACAATTATGGCCATAATATCCATGGCGAAGGTGAAAGCCTAGCAAAACGTTTGATAGTGTTCATCAACTAATCATTCACACAAAGAAAAAAGCAAACAAGGACATCACTTCTTTCTAGACGTTTTATTGACGAGAAGCCTACACACAACTAACATACACATTTTTCGAGCTTTGTCCCATTAAAATTTTTAATAAAAACCTAATCAAATCCTTAGCTGACAAAGCCAACATTAATTGTTCTGATTATACCCCTGAAGAGAACTAAAATTTATTCTTGGTTCACTAAATAAACACGTATACTCATCGAAGTGCTTAATAAAACATATATCTAGAACTAAACCTGAAGTTTAATCACTACTGGTACCAAAAAACCTTTATTCTTGGAGTGCAATTCAAAGATGATATAACTAGCGAAACATCAATTCAACAAGCACAAAAAGCCATCAAACGTATATTCAGTGAACGATTACCCAGTTCGTCCTTTACCATTTTAATTGCTCTAGCGGACTCGGTTTTATTGGACTTACAATCACACGATTACATTTCTGTACTACACCTTTTACTGTCGACTAAAGGAGACCTATCAGTCAGTCACTAGTCGTTACCATGACAATTCAAATTCGGCTTTTAAATTTATATATTAGTGCAAAGCCATGACGAAGTGCTGATTGAGAAGAAATACATCTTTGCTCAACTTTCATTATTAATGTCTCAATAGGCTTTTATGAATTAACTTCAGTTGTTGTGAAATGTGCTCTGAAATGCTCAGAAAAATCTTCATTCCCGTTTTTATGACATAAGTACTTTGGCACGTAAAAATACTAACTGGATGTAACATGAGATGGGAGTTGGTCCAATTCTACTTGTCTCAATGGATAATTTATTTGATACAACAAAACTAGTTCAGTGACTGGATACGTCCTCTACATAGTAACACAGTCTAAAATTAATCAAGATTGGATTCATGATCGTAGTATAATTCATTCCCCTCGTTATTGTTTTCTCATACTTTATGAGCAACCAATATATAGTAGACATATTTCAACTGTAGGTAACTATTCTTCTGTTTTCTCATGTGAACTTAGTTTCAGTACATCACTGAATAGTATTCAACAAAACTTTGTTTCAACCTATCGAATAGAAACAATTGAAATCCAAATAAATCTCACTTCAACTATCTTTTTGATGAAGAGATATTTCTATTTATCCAACGTTTTCAGTTACTCAAAGTAGTCACTAATTATAGTTGTCAAAATCGAAAATGCTATTTAACGTCTTTGTGAAAACTGTATTATCGCTGATTTAATATAATTTCAGTTTCCGAATTTGACCGGGTCAACCAATCAGTAAAGAAGAGGAGTACTATAAAAAGTCAAATAGTTATTGTTGAGTCGGCTTTCAGAGAACTTCGACGGAGCCTCCAGAGGCCCAAAATGAGCCGAAGAGTCCTAGCCAATCAGAGCATGATGGAGCTTTCTAGAATGTCAACGTAGCGTGCTACTATTGGTCAGTAGCATGTGTCTTTTAGCTTACTAACTTACTTACTTTCGCCTGTTACTCCCAATGGAGCATAGGCCGCCGACCAGCATTCTCCAACCCACTCTGTCCTGGGCCTTCTTTTCTAATTCCATCCAATTCTTGTTCATTCTTCTCATGTCCGTCTCCATTTCCCGACGTAACGTGTTCTTTAGTCTTCCTCTTTTCCTTTGTCCTTGAAGATTCCATGTGAGGGTTTGTCTTGTGATGCAGTTGGGTGCTTTCCTCAATGTGTGTCCTATCCACTTCCAGCGCCTCTTCCTAATTTCTTCCTCCGCTGAGATCTAGTTTGTTCTCTCCCATATGAAGTTGTTGCTGAGAGTGTTTGACCAACGGATCCGAAGTATTTTGCGTAGACAACTGTTAATAAACACCCGTATCTTCTGGATGATGGCCTTCGTAGTTCTCCAGGTTTCTGCCCCATACAGTAGAACTGTCTTGACATTTGTATTGAAAGTCCTGACCTTGGCGTTGGTTGACAGTTGCTTTGAGTTCCAGATGTTCTTCAATTGTAGATATGCTGCTCTTGCTTTGCCGATCCGCGCCTTCACATCTGCATCAGATCCACCTTGTTCATCAATGATGCTGCCCAAATATGTAAAGATTTTTACATCTTCTAAATGTCTTTTAGCGGATTGGCCAAAATATGATGTTGATTTAACAAATGTTAACATCTATAAATACCCGTGTTTTTCTGTACAAAAATGAACCTTTGGAGTAAAGTGTTTTCGCTTATTTTGCGCCTTTTCTCTCGACTTCAGGTCACTACGTAGTTCTAGCTTTCGGGTTATCAGAACAGCTTAGGAACTGAATAAAGCGTTCAAATTAACAAGACTTATCAGTTATGTTTAAAACTCAATTGTTTATAGAGATTGCAGGATTTACCCAAACAGAAATGAAATAAGAACAAACAATTGATTACATAACGATTACTATTACATCTAACTATTGTATAACATAAAAGATACTACAAGAAGATTTGTTCAAAAATTAAACAATATTTCTATTCTATATTTCCATATGCTTTATTCCATTGTCCAATTTGTTTTTCTGTATAACTATAAGCTATAGGTAAAAATGCTTGAGAAATTTTTGCAAGAAGTTGTGGTATACAATATGTAAATGGATTCAATGTTATTTGTCCAGATATTAATGAATTAATGGCTAATAGACCATATGATAACCAACCAAATATATTGAATAATAAGATTGAATTATTCAGCTTTGTTGAATGATTTCATGAAGCAGATAAAAGATCAAAGAAAAACACTTCATTAATACATGGGTAAAATAATTTCTTAAACAAAAAAATGGATCGATAACATTGAAGTAGACATTAGAAATTCTGGAAACTTTATTCATCATGGTCTGACGTTGTTTAATCAGGACTCTGTACGGTGTCGAGTCCAGGACTATCATTTTTCTTGATGAACACGATAAGTACCAGACTATCAAGTTAAAGCACAGTAGTTTGTGCCTTTAACACCAGTCAATACACAGCTTTGCCAAACCATCATCCTAAACTGACTAACACCACATACAATCTGGTGTTGAGAAAACTGAAGTACAAACCTGATGATATTAAGTCTAACATGATCACGATGAAGACTTAAGTCATTGATAAGTAGAGTACCAGTTAAGCAACATTGTCAAAGAGATTTCACCTATCATCCGTCAGAGATCAAGAAAACTTGTATAGATGAAGCTTATTCACTGACCGCTACGATTTTCATCTAAACAAATCCCATATAAAACATTTAACAGAATGTAAAAGTAAGGCGAGAAAATCACTTTCAGTGAATCTTTATGAATGTTAATCCAAGGAGCGAAAAGATAAAGTGTTCTAAGAAACTCAATACTAACGACTGCCTATACCGGTATTTTTCTTCTATAACAAGCGTTACAGCATCCTGTTAACATATAAATAACTATACTATCCGAAATATGTTACTCATTACATTACAAAGTAATCCAAATAGAAAGGATTCTTTGTATCAATCCCGAATTTCAAATGCAAAACAGTTTTTACATCACTTTGCTTTGTTTCAGGGGTATAATGTGACAATTTCACCCTTTTCAGCCCTATTTAATAGTTATTATCATCATTATGGAAATGGTGGAGAACCAGAGGAAAATAAATCAAACATCATCTGCAAAATAAATTGTGCCAACTGCGAAACACACTACATCGGACAAAGCGGACGCCCCTTCACCTTCGCCTACACGAACATCAATTAGCAGTCAAACGCCATGATATTTCCTCACTTATATCAATGCATGTGAAAAACTGCGGACACTCATTCGATTGGAGAGAGGAAATCCCAAAAACACTAGAGAAGTTTTAGAAGCGTGGCACTCAGGTCAATCAGCAATCAACAAGCATATTGAAATCAATCCAATTTATCGGTGTCATTACCAAGGTTTGATTTGATAATTTCGAATAAATTGAGCATTGGGTTGATTGTTATAAATAAAAATAATATATTTTCAGAATGGGTTTTGTGGAGAGTTTTAGAAATTTTCACAGGTTGAAATCATGAGTCAGTTGAAGCTAGACCACCATTGAAAACCTGGAAGCACTGGACGGCCGTTTCGTCCTGGTATGGGACTCCTCAGCAGTGCGCATCCACGAACCCGTACGGTGGCGCAACTTCGTAGATTGGTTGAAGTTAGACATTAACACCGTTGGGTGCCGGCTCAGTGGTCTAGTGGTTAAGTGCTCGCGCGCGAAGCCAGTAGGTCCTGGGTTCGAGCCCCGCGTGGTACGGGATCGTGGATGCGCAGTGCTGAGGAGTCCCATACCGGGACGAAACGGCCGTCCAGTGCTTCCAGGTTTTCAATAGTGGTCTAGCTTCAACTGACTCATGATTTCAACCTGTGAAAATTTCTAAAACTCTCCACAAAACCCATACTGATAATAATCAACTGCTCATTAGTGAATGACTTCAAGAAAAACTCCTGGAGTTCTAGTGAGAAGCCGTTACCAGTGGAGTTCAACCGGTCTGTTGTGAGATAACAACTCACTGAAGACAATGGTGTACAGTGGCGCAACTTCGTGGATTGGTTGAAGTTCGACAATAACACCGTTAGATGTCGGCTTAGTGGTCTAGTTGATGTTCAACCGTGAAAAATAAAATGATAAATTTGATACGACTAACAAAACAATGGTAAACCAATTATCATAACACTGATATGAACTATAATATAGGGTAGTATGAAATTTCTGAAAAATCGTAAAAGCTTAGCCAGTAATAATAATAATGATAATTTTGATGGAGTTTTGTACTCTGAGCTGGATAGTTTATATATTAAAATATATTAAAACCATTACAACTCAACTTACAAAATATAATTAAAGACACATATGACTTTAAATCAAAATTATCCGGATTAATCATCGAGAAGAATGAAATCATGGTAAGCTTTGATGTCGTTTCTTTATACACAAGTGTTCCCATTGATAAATGCTTAGAATTCATTAGTGGTTTACTTGAGAACGACAATACTCTTCCTGACAGATGTCCGTTGAGCATCAGTCTAATCATGAAATCATTAAAACTTTGCTTAAATTCAACGCTATTTACTTTTAACGGTATTTTATTCAAACAAACTAACGGTGTAGCGATGGGATCCCCCGTGTCCACGATTGTAGCCAACCTTTTTATGGCATACGTAGAATCAAATATCTTCGCCCACAACATTATACCACGAATTTGGCTTAGATATGTAGACGATACATTTGTTGTTTTAAAAAAGACTCATCTAAGATCTTTTTCAAAACGAATAAATACACTTTCCTCGCACATCAAATTCACCAATGAAAATGAAAATGTACATGGTGAGCTACCATTCTTGGATTGCTTAGTAAAAAGAAATCCAAATGGAAGTCTAAACCTATCCATTTACCGAAAGCCGACGCATTCAAATCGTTATATTGACTTCCATTCAGCACATCCTTTCAGTGCTGAGATCTCGCCAGCCTTAAATCTTTTTAGAAGAGCTAACAAGATCATCACATCAGAGGAAGAGAAACAAAAAGAACAAACGAATATAGTTAGCATCTTACAATTTAATAATTTTCCTATGAAGATTATTAGAAGCATATTAAAACAAAACAGTTTATTACATTATAATAATGATTCGAATGAAATGCCTTGGATTGGCACTGTAGTCCTACCATACCGTCATGGCACAACAGAAGAAATTCAAAGAATCTTAAAACATCACAGAATTAAAGTGTATTACAAAACAACGAACACACTACGTAATACTTTAGTTCGCCTGAAAGAAAAAATCACTTTCATGTCCACACAGAACTGCGTCTACAAATTAGGTTGTATCGGTTGTGATGCCTATTATATTGCAGAGTCATCTCGAGAAATCGTGACTAGAGCCAAATAACATATTAGGTACACAAAGAAACCTCCTAACAATCCGGTAGAATTGAACCAACCTCAAATTAAATCGGCAATAGCAGTTCATGCCATTTTCAACAACCACCAAATCGATTTTAAAAATATCAAAATATTGCAAAAAGGCTTTTCCAACTACAAAGAAAGGAGGGTAGCTGAGGCGTTCCATATAATGCTTAATCCTACTTCTCTCAATAGAAAAGAAGGCCTTACCATACATCCTACTTGGACCATCTATCCTAACCATTCAGTCTGATCGTATTTACAATTTCACACTTTCATATTACAAATTAACAAACTCTATCCTTTCTTACCATAAATGTCACACAAGTGTTCATTCTTAAACAATGCACACATACATACACACACAGATTTACATACTTATCACTTATGAATCACCTTGACAGAAATGACATGACATCAACTTGTTCAGACCTGTTTTTGATTGATCAAATATTATTCTTGCATTGTTCCGTTGTACTATTTAAACTTGGGTTAATTTTAATTTGGTTATTTATTCTCTGAAGAAGTGACTTACACTAAGTCACGAAACGTCGGAAAATCTAATTTTCTACTCATTGGGATATTACAAATATATTATTTTCATTTATAGTCCAATTTATCAACCAATCACGAAAATTATGCACAAATATGGGAACAAAAATCAAACCAATGGGAGACACAACCAAAACAAAGAAGTAAACAATGAAAAATTTAAGGTCAATAAGAACCAATCAACGTCGAAGTGTACAGAACAAGTTGTGAAACGCATATGGAGAAATTCGAACCCTTCACCTCTATGTGAAGTTTTTGCTGATGATGTCGTTCAGAAGAACGATGAAAGCTCCACGACCAAGCCATCCAGCTCAGAGTACAAAACTCCATCAAAATTATCATTATTATTATTACTGGCTAAGCTTTTACGATTTTTCAGAAACTTCATACTACCCTATATTATAGTTCATATCAGTGTTATGATAATTGGTTTACCATTGTTTTGTTAGTCGTATCAAATTTATCATTTTATTTTTCACGGTTGAACATCAACTAGACCACTAAGCCGACATCTAACGGTGTTATTGTCGAACTTCAACCAATCCACGAAATTGCGCCACCCTCCATCGTTGACATTGGTGGACGAAACGCCCGTTCAGTGCTTCCAGGTTTTCCATGGTGGTTTATCTTAAATTGACTCATGAACTCAACTATTAACTAACTATAATATCCACAAAACTCTTTTCTAAATATAAATAAGCCTTTCAATTTTGAAAATTATTAACTAACATAAGTGGTAGATAAAGCTTCTTTAATGTTGATAAAATACATAAATTCATTATATTACAGACTAAATATATTCACGGACCTTAATTTTAGGGATTTTCTGGGATACTTTAAAAACAGATAAGTTATTCGATGCATTTATATAATCACCTCATCAAAGTCATTAAAAGGACCGGCGTAGAATACTGACAATGTTCATTTGAAATGTAAAACAAATGTTAGTGCAATTCTTCTGTTATGGTTTGGTCTTAACCAATGAAAGAAACCAAAACAACACAACTCATCTAGTGAGTTCAACAAATCATTGACTTTTTTTAGTCTTCACGAAATGCAGCAGCGATGCCGCAATTTGGAAGACTCGCGGTCCCCCACATTGTACGAGTATTCCATGTACCTAAATAAATGGTTGCTCTGGTTGTCAGAAGGGGCATCGGCCTCGTAAGTTCCGAAGGAACTCGGCTTTCATCATGAGACCTTCTGACTCCCAGGGCAGAGTTTAAAGGGTTTGAATATTTTTTTCTAGTTGGCGTTTTTTTAGCGAGTTAGTTTTCTACGGGATTATGTCGCTAACCCTATGCCCAACCCTCCTCCTTCGTCTGGGCTTGGGACCGACAGTAACCCCCGGAGGGACTCAAGGTGGAGTTTCCATGAAATAGATCTTAAAAATAATTAAGCAATAATCAAACAAATAAATCTACCTTTATAAGAATCTCAATCTTTGTAGTGTTCTTTTTCTTATTTTTATTTTCATCCGATACTGTATGCTGTATCAGTTTATATTGTGACCAAATACCGATACCGAATGGAAGTACATAACCAAATATAATTAGTGAAAACATATACAATTTCATGCTCTTATCCATATTAGTCCAGTCCAATAGACATGATGTTTTATGAGGTTCTAATGTATATCTGAAACATTAGAAAAAGCTAAGATAGTGATTTGGTATCATTATCAAGTTTCGACTTGATAATCATTTCAAACACATTTAAAATGGTATAGGTTGTTTAGAATAAAGAATAATGATATACGATGGATAGTGGCTAGCAGTGGAATCCAGGACGCGCGTTTCGTCCCATTTGGGACTTGTCAGCTGGATGTACCCGCGTCCTGGGTTCCACTGCTAGCCACTATCCATCATTGCTTACAAATAGCTTGTGAATTAAGGTAATATTGAGGCATACACACAGTATGCACATATGCCAATAACAGACTGATCAATTGCAGTCTTAAACCTCGATGGGAAGATACAAGCCAAACAATACCAAGTGAATAATAATATGCTTTCAATGCCCTAATGAAGAAGCAATTTTGTAGTGACTTTTCTTCGTTAATCTATCACCTCAATAACCGTTATAATATAAATTCTCAACGGTGTATGAATTCAGAAGGCAATGAGAAGCAGCAACCACAGTTTATTAGTGGATAGCACTTATCACAAAGCTATAAGCACATTAAGCTCATTTGAAACCGAGAGGCAAATAGGTATATATGATCCAATACATTGGCAAATTTATAGTCAAATTGCATAAGGGCACAGTAAAGCAAAAGCTAATAATAATAGGATTTGAGTACATATATACATGAGGAAGAGAATGAATCATCTAGTGATCAACATCTTAGCTAGAGTCTGTCATATGATCTAGTGATTATAACAATACAAAGAAATATGCGAATCGTGACTATTCCAATAGCATTATCTGTTAAGTTAGTAAAAAACACTTAACTAAAATTAACCATAACAAAATTGGTTGTATGATAGTTACTATAACTTATACTGAACTAGTAAACATCAGAAATTCGATTTTATATTCACTGAGATATTACAAACATGCCATTACTAGTGTTATGACTTGATCTCGTCTATTTAATTTTTTAATGTGACCGTAAATTTGACTAATCGATGTTGACTTGTTTAATTAGGGCAGATTGTTGACCTGTCAGACAGTTACCAGAATGGCATTCACTTAAAATACATACTAAATAAAATTTTCTAATGAATATAGATTTTTGTTAAGTCTTATTCATTTGATCTTAAGTCAGTTAATCAAGGATATGACTCTTATTAATATGCTAACTTTATGGCTGGGACATGTGTTATGTAGGCCCAACCACCAACTACCCCGACGAGCTGTGTTTTATGGTATAGGAGTAGGTTGGAAGAAAGCTAGAGGCGGCCAGATCAAAACATGACACAACTCCATGAAGTCACTAACAAGTGAACTGAATGAACCTTGTTGGTAGGTGTAAACTATCTGGTTGGGATCCTCAAGACGATAGCAACCGATGATTAGAGACCTTGAATGACATGGCTCAAAATCGTTTGCAGTGACCCAGGTGCATCCTCTCTTCGTGTTCTTCCAAATTCTAATCTTCTCAATTCTTCATGTCCCATTTTTCTCTTTACAAATTTCTTTCAATGGATTATACTCCTTGAATAACATCTTTACTGCTTATACTTTTGCTACCTCTACCACTACATGATTTGAATAGACAATTGTATCAGTGTGCTAATACGGTATGCAACTCGAACTGATATACGTACATATAAAGTTCTACATTGTTAGTGACATACTGCTAACTTTATTCTGAACTGCAAATATTTAATGAGTATTTTAGAATAAATCCCCCCCAAAAAAATTGAGGAATTAACTGAACTGTAAATTACTATTACTAAAAATTTACTAACCGGAAAATAAAGAAACTGTGGTGGTCGGTATTCCATATAATCCTTAAACTTCGTATACAGTTCGTCTTAATAACCGTCACTAGATAACGCCCCCAACGGTATATTAATCAGAAGGCAAATACGAAGTGTTGATTATGTTTATTACGGGACCACACAGATTTATCCAAAATTACAGGTGCGTCAAACAAGCATAGAAGAGTTGTGCCGAAAGGCAAGCAGGCAAGCGAGTGAGTCAGCGAATATGAGTACGAGTAAGCGAGAGAGAGCAATGAACATGATCAACATGGACTTATATATATATACATAGTGAAAGGAATGCATCATCGCATCAATTGAGCGGTTAGTAGCGTGAATAAATACGTGGGCAGTAAGCAATGCTCAAGCATACATGTTTATACATTCACAACAATAATAAAGATACAATGATATAGATAACTTGTTGTTAGGATGACTCTATTCGTTAGTATGTTAACAAAATGACTTAACCGAATTAAATGTGAATCAAATCAATTGAGCGTGAGTTGCTATAAAACTATGTCTTGCTTTGAAGTTTGAATAGTCAGTACAGAAACAAAAAAAGGTTTTCCACGTTGAAAAGTTGTAATCAATAAGAGGATGAATAACAAATTTTGGCCTAATCCTCATGTTTGAAATTATTTATCGGACCCATGTGATGATGAAAAAAAAGGAACATGATGCTCTTTTTTAATTAATTAAAGTTGAAACTCTTCAGTATTAATCAGTTATTAGTATGATAGGTAAAATTTAGTCGACAGTAGTAGTCTTAAAGTACCAGATATTTTGTTTAGTTCAAGCCCCTGAACTATATATCTTATTTTATCAAGTGCTATGTTGATTGCTGTTAGTGATTGAATATCATTCAGTTAAGGTGAGAAGACTGTTATTATTTGAGTGAATTGATCATAAATGTTAGTACTTCAGTAAATTACATGTAAAATCAATCGGTATGATGCATTTAGCCTTCATTTGGAACTGTAAGCAACCATATAGATTATTAGTAAAAAGAAGGTACGCTTTACCTCCCATATCCATAGAGTGGTAGAATAGCCCACAATGCACCGATCATCCAAATTCCAAAAGGAATGTAATTATATTGATTAGATATGAAATGACGGACTGTAAAAAAAGGAGGATAATAACTATCATCATAGTTCAATTTGACTTTCATTCTTAAAATTTATTTACAGTTTTTTCGCTGCCCTTCAATATACAAGGAACTGGTAGTTTTTAATTGACATCACAATATAACACAACTAAACTGTTATTTACTATGAAGTTACACACGAATCCTTTAAATTTAAGGTTATGTATTATCCCTTCATTATAACAACCTGAATCTTGATGTTGTGTGCTTGCACATAAAATGTCAAGGTAATTCCTATAAGATTGATATGACGTAAGAATTAATTTAACATACCTTGTTGGACTGATCAAGTCACTTGTATAGGACCCAGTCAAATTTGGAAGAAATCGAAATGATCGTTAAAATTACGGCTAATGAAATGCAGATAAATATTCTATTTCCACTTAGATAAAAAACGGACTATGCCTAGCAGTAGAATCCAGAGTACATATTTCTTCTTTATTTGAGACTAGTCCTCAAGACAGAGTTTAATGCAGAATCCTGGTGGGTGGCCTATGCTCCACCACAAGGCATAACAAACGTAAGTATATCATGTATTAGTCCTCGATTCTACTGTTAGACACAATCCATTTATTCAAAATAACTTGTAACATAATGACTAATATTGAGGCAATTCTTAAAGGATGCATATATACTAACAAAGTGATAAGCATTCAGTTCTCGATGATAACAGAGAGACTATTCAAACATTACTGATAATAATAATAATATCCTGTTATTACAATAATAAGAGTAAATAATCAACTTTTAACTTATAGCACAACAAATAAATTTCGAACGTCTTTTTCAACACAATAAGCTAACAGTCATAAGTGAAATTACCCTATAAAAACATTGATTTTGTTGGTTAATAGAAAACTCTGTCTGAATGAAATTTTACGATAGAAACTAGTTATTTCTATTCTTGAGTTATATCCAGTCTATCAATTACTATCTTCCTCATTCACAGCTACATTTGGCTAAATCTTGAACAAATGTTATTTTCCCTTTTATGGTATGATATGGTCTGTTTGGTTGGTATATAAACACAGTGTGTTTGAAATACATGATTCATATCTCTGAGGTTGAGATTGGTGTTCTGGACTTAACTGGCTGGGCTAGGCAGTAAGCGGGACCGATAAGTACTCCAGAATGCTCGCACGGGTTTTATGCGTCATTGGTCCAGTCGATAATTCACTGTTCTCTAATTAACGGTATCATTATGTTATACATTAACAAGGCACATAGGCTACAAGTTATAACAGAATATAATCTTTGTCTACTTACTATAGGTTAAGTTCAATATTTCAACCATAGTGAAGAAACAGATAAAACATGACAAATAAATTGATGTCATTCCAAAAAACATTCCAGCAAATGCATATGACTGACAGCCAAAATGACCAAAAGACCATCTGAAATATTAAAAGAAATAAAATATCAGATGGATTTTGTGGAGATTGTAGTAATTTCAATGATTAAGATCATGAGTCAGTTGAAGCTAGGCCACCATGGAAAACCTGGAAGCACTGGACGGCCGTTTCGTTCTCAAATATTTAACTGGAAATTTCTTTTCAACACTTGAAAGTTATGAAAACTGAAAAATAAATAAGGCTGAAGTAGAATTATTTACAATTTCTTCAATGTAACTGAAATTCTTTGAAATTAAATAAGAGTACTGGTTCCTTATAGATATATCTATACACATCCTTGAGTAAATGATCTTTAATATTAACTAATATATTGAACTAATCTTATGCTTTCCATTCTGTTTTTCGATATAAGTCAGTGAGTAGCGTTACAACTATCAGTCAGTAGTACATATAACGTACAGACTTTAACATATTTACAGATGAAGTTAGTTGAAACAAAATACAATATATTTGCTGAACAGCTTACTATCAATGTTTAGTCATATGTTGGTAGATATAAGTAGTATGGATCATCAATTGAAAGTGTCATGTTTGGAGATAGAAGGTTAGGAAGACCGAAGAAAAGAGAACGAGAACAAAGAATGATTAGAGTGGAGAAAAAGGACGACTGACTGATTTTTTTTCCAAATGAAGTATTGACTGTATGGTTCTCAAATTTTACTAAGAGATTCTGTAATTTTGTACTGAAACACATTCGGTTGTCCTTACTTGTGTTCACATTCACTACAATACAATTTGGTTGTTACTCATTCCTTGTTGTGTCTCAATAAGAATAATGAGTGGTAATTTTTTGGGATCTATTTACCGACCAATACTGTACGTATATTTTTGTCGTATAATTGTTGATTAACTAAACTATTCATATCCATGTCTTTCTTATCATAAGCCTTATTTTAGCCTGTTAAACGATTTTCCATTCTTGAATTATTCCCTATCTGTCAATCACTACCTCCTACATTCACAGTAGTAGAATTTCAAATATAATCACGTTGGTAATGTTTGCAGTTGATTGATATACTGAAACATGTAAGATATTTGCATTATGTACAATCTTTAGAAAGAAAATTTTGCATTCATACAAAACGTTACCTTATAGGAGAGACTAAAGTCTATGGGTAGGTTACAAAACAAAAACCATAATAAATAACCGTACACAAGTGACTAAATAAATTGTATAAATATACTGACGAATAACACTTTCTGTTATAATTGGATCATCCTAAAACATTTTTAAACTATCAAGAGTATGTATGGTCCACACTAATTGGAAAAGACTAGAACTCAGTGTTAGGGTATATGACTTTATATATAGTATTCTTACGTACGTAACCAGGGCCAAATGTGTGTAGTAATCCTAATTAAACTAACTAATTCAGCGCCCAAATATTGTGAAACTACTCGTTCAGATTTAAACAATAGTTCTTATATAACTTAAATAACTATTTATAGAATATGAAGTATTTCCCTAATGATATGCCACCGTTCTTCTTTCAGTTAATCTATTCCGTCCATTATTCTTATCCATCCTGAATCAAACATGTTTGACTTATTAATCCATTAACATTTGGTTTGATCATTGAATAGAATGTCTAAACTCATTCTTTTTCACTGTATCAGTTGATATTGGATACAATAACAAAATGATTAAGTTTTTATATCTCTAAATTATGATGTGAAATATGTACGATTTGGATTATGATCATGGGTGGTTAATTATATGAAGGTTAAGGCCTATTGTATGTAACTGAAGAAGATTAAATACTAGATAGAATCAAATAAATAATCTTTTAGATATTTTGATGGAATTCTGTTCACTACAGTAGGCTGAAAATACACAAAGCAGACTTCACTTCTACATGAAGTTTGTGTTGATGATATCGTTCAAAAGAACGATGAGAGCTCCACAATCAAGTCATCTAGCTCAGAGAACAAAACTTCATCAAAATCATCCAACTGAGCTACAAATCTTCTCCACCATCTCAAAATTTTAGAATATTCTGGTACCATTTGTAAACTTGAACACACATCCAGTAGTTCATCTTCAATCAACTCATGTCCTCTAGAATACTTTTAGTATATTTAACATTGCTTCACAAGACAAATAAGAAAAAACGGTGTTTTCTGTCAGCTGTTTTACTTGGTAATCCATTTAAAAGTGTATGATAGAATCTTTCCTGTATTAAAGTTCCTTTTGGGTTTATTTTTGGTCTCATCAGTGTGCTCAAATACACAATTAGATAAACTTCATTTCATATGTTTCATTCAATTTTCATAAATGTTTTTTTCAAGGGGTTACAATTCAGCTCTTAATGAAATTACCTCTTCAGAGATGAATGAACAGTTTCATGAAAGCAATGAACAAAAGCTTACAGTAAGAATTATGATGAATGTAATATATATACAATTCAAAAGTCAGTGGAATACTCCTTTAAATAAATAATTTCCAGGAATTACAGCAATATTCATTAGTCATTAGCCAAGTACTAATAAAAAGCCTCATTAGTGTTTTCAGTCCTTTTAAGTCAAGAAAACAATCATTGCCGAACACTGATAGGCATGCCTGTGTTCTAAATCCTGATGAATAATGAATATGTGGTCGATGCAGCCACGACCAGGTCTGATGTCAGCCTGAATTTTTCGTGTTTCCAGTTCATGAGTCTTTGTTAGGTGTCCGGTAATTATTGAGGCTAGGATTTCAGGTGCTATATTAGGTTGTAAATGTTCATCGACGGAGATGATTGGGCCACGTGTTACGTATACCTGAACATCGAATACCATGGCACACAGTGCTGACTAGTGTTGGAGATTGTTGGAAGAAAGTTAGGAGTGGCAAATCCAAGACATAGCATCAGTGCTTGAAGTCGCTAACTTCTGGTATAGGCCATATTGGTAGATGCAGACTACTTGTTTGGGGTCCGCGTGACTATCGTAACCAGTGGATGGAGATTCTGGGTGATTTGGCTCAGAATCGATTACAATGGCGTAGGTGTATATGTGGTGTAGGTTACTTATATTCACACAAGTAGCATATAACGGTGGTCAGGCATAGAATATGTTTTGTAGAAGGTCGATGAGAAAAGAACGGGAACGGAATGCAATTGATATGAAAATGCATGAATAATGAAATCTGAGACAATGGATTGATGTTTGCAACAAGAACAGTCAAGTTTGAGATGATGGATAGATATTTTGCAAATTAAGGATTTACTATATGGTTCTCAGATTTTATTGAGATGCTCTGTAATTTCGTGTCAAGTACATTTGATTATCCCAATAGTATTTGGTTTACTACATGTACACTCTCTGTCTTCCCTTAAAGTGTGAGGTTAAAATTACTTTGTCTTCCTCTCTACCAGATAATTCTTTCTTCCTGTATTATATCGTTATAGGCAATCTTTCTTTTATATATTACTATCATTGAGGCAACTACTTCTATAATATTCAGTGTTGTGCTAATGAGATGTGACAACTTGGACCGATGCAAACGTGTACCTGGTCTTACGTTGTATCTAACCTTCAAGATTTAAGCTAATTTCAATTGCTACTCAGAATAAGTATTCAATGAAAGTTTTATTATTAAGGTAACTTCAAATTAATTAAGTATTGGGTAGAATTTTAATCATAAAATAATGATACATCTGTAATATCCTAATGAGTAGAAATGAGAGCATCTGACCTTACATGATCTAGTGAAAGCCACTTCTTCAGAGTAAACAAATTACCGGAATAAACTGACAGTTAGTTAAACACATAAACATTGGTACAAGAATCCACCAAATAGATATGCTCCACATAAATCATTCGATTTGCATGACGGTTAGGATACTGCCCGGTTGCCCAAATAGAAGCAGGTAAATTTAAATAGAACAGAAGAATAGGTTGTTCCTCTAATTGCTGTTTCTACTCATTATGACACTACAAATATATCATCATTTTACTATATTCTATAAAAATTTGATCATAGTGCATATTTATTCTAGAGTTTTAGTGGTTTCAAGCCATAAGACTGAAATAATGTAAGTCATGCTAATTAGGATCTGAACCGTCCGGAAGTTAAATATGTATATCCAATAAGATTAGATTAAATTTATTCTTACCCTTTTTGATAAACACCGATTGCACTAAAAGGTGTCATTGCAATGCTACCCAAACAAGCCGCAACCAAATGATAATGAAACTTTTTCAAACCATCGGGTAAAATAGAACTTATCTTCGTTAACCGTGAAATGTTCTTAGTGTGTAACCACAAGCCTAGCAAACCTGAAATAGATAACACAAACTGATCAATAGTTGCGATAATTTTTAACTAACCTTCTCAATATCCTTCATCAATTCGAAACTCGTTTAGCCAACTTTACATCCATTAGATTTCCAGTGTAGACTAACTGTATATGGATAAAGCTTCTTATGGACTTCTCTGTCTTTTATTTAACCATGTATCGCGATGTCAGAAATAGGATTTGTTTAGTGCACTGTTGGTTTGAAATTAGAGTGGATTCACTGTATCCACCAACTCAGTTAAGAAGCCGGACATTCGCTTTTCGTCTTCTCAATTTCGTAAACAACACCCACACTGCAAGGAAGCAGTGAGTAGGACTTCCCTGTAGATGGCTGCATACGAGTGGCCATGTGAGAGCATTTCGAGAGGAAGAGCTAACTCTCCGCACCCTCGACCATACCAGGGCATTTGGGGGGCAGGTGAACTTAAACTGCCAAATACATATAACTGTAGCAAAAATACTTATACCACCGTAATTTAAATTAATGTTCATCATAGATTCGGATATTAAATAATATTCTTATTTATTTAAAAAAGATTCATAGTTACTACTTATTAGTTCTAATAGCTTTAATTCAATTCCGTAGCCCCTTTCGGTGATGATTTCAGAGTGATGATTATTTCGGAATGTTTAAGAATTACTCTTTGCCACGATACCAATAATTAGTTCTTGATTTCAAATAGATTAAGGCTATGAGATTTGCTCCAAACTAATATGATAAGAACGAAAACCACCATTATGACAAACTAAGAATTGACAATCGATTGATCACTGGGTGGTGATCAATGTCATGTGTGTCAAACCCTTCTTAGTGCAAATCGAATGCTATCGATCAAGTTGCAATGTGGCCACTAGTCTAGGTGACTCGACATTACCATTGGGCTATCCGGACCGCGACCGTGACACGGGATCGAACCCGTCAGGGAGCACCGGTTCCCTCAAGATAACAGGTACACCTTGCTGATGAGTGCCAAATAGCACGAAACCCGGGTTCAGGGTTTCCTGTTGACTACCTTCAACCACCATTCTATCTCAAGCTAAGAATATTAAAAATAACAGAGTGTATTTCAATACGATCGGCGTTTAAGGATTCAGATACTAAAAGAAACAATATTTGCATGATACTAAGTATTAACCAGGTAAGCTTGAATTAGTGTTTGTAATGTCCTAGTTTGAATCAACAGTCGAATTCCTCTTGTTTCCACTGCGAATTAACGATCATCTATCCAAATTTATTTTATGAATACAATTATGGAAATAAGATTTTATCAAAAAATTTACTTACCAGTTAACAGGAAAGCAAATCCAAGTTGATATGTATTATCATTCATGAGTACCGAATGTTACCATGTAAAATAGGAGTTTAATTTGTAGTCTAATTTATTGTGACCCTTTAGACTCATTAGGTCAATCGATATGTTATACATATTTCAAATATGATTGGTCAAAATGTCATGTGCTGAGAGGGGGGGGAATGAAACAAATGATTAAAAACATGAAGTTCTCCTCAGTAAAGTGGTTGATGGTTTGAATATAAAACAAATTTTATCTGAATAATCATTAAAACCGGAAGGCTATACGACTGGTGTTTCATACGATTTAAAGGTTTTCTGATAGTAAACACCAACAACCTAACAGGCAATGAAACACAGAATCATTTCGTAGTTTGAATAAAGCATCATACCACTTAACGATTAAGTTAGAATTCAATGGTTGTCAATCGCAATCTTTGTTCACTGTCATTGACGGCTATCCGTTTACATTGGCATAAATAATGTGAATAAAGAGTCCACTCATAAATATCTGGCCTCTATAGAGATGAACAATGATTTAACAAAATAAATGAAACGATTCATGAGTATTATTTTGTATGATTGAAATTCTTGAAGTTTCCATAACCAAGTTAGTAAAAAGAGAAGGGGTTGGTGACAAAGACCAAGTAACTAGTAATGCAAAATATGACGACATTAAATGAATACCATGTAGGGGGAAAACGTGGTAAAACATGATGATTGTAAAAAAAAATCATTTAAACGAAGCTTCATTATCCCAAGCTACCTAATCACTTCCTTTCATAATTTAATGAAGGACATTAACTTGATTGTGTACTCATAAATTTGTAATTCAATGATGATGATAATAATGACGATGATGATGATGATGATGATGATGATGATGTGTAGCACAGTTTTCATAGTTGATAAACAATAAATATGTAGACGCACAGACAGACTAACACAGATATTGAAAAAAAGTTATTCCGAAGAATACATGGATAAGAGGTGATAACTGTACGACAATGAGTGGAATATTTTTCAATGTACTATGTCCTTATATTCGATTAATTAAATCACGTGATACGACAGACAATTAGAGACATCGACTTACACAACCAGACTAATGACGCATAAACCTCTACTAGCAGTCTAGAGCTCTTATTGGTCCTCTGAAATAGTAGTTTCTCTCCTAACTCAGCCGCCTTAGTCCAGAACGCCAATATCATCCTCCGACATACGAATCATATATTTCAGATATACAAGGTTTATATACAAACAAACCATACCGCATCATAGAAAAGATCCAGCCAGAAAGTGGCTCTGATTGTGAGAAACTGTTACTAATAAAATGGAAACATCTTAAGAATAGTAAATCGCATGATAATATTCAATAGGTCAAATAAAAGGAATATTATTATGTATATAATATGGTTACTTAATAGATATACAATAAGAATATGTGTAATAAAAGTCCACAAATAGATCCTAGCGGTTACTATTTACCCATTCTTCATCCGAATATAATAAAAGAAATGAGAAAGAAAAATATACGAAGGTATAAAAACAACCAATATGATTTAAATGATTTGTACATCACATAATTTGCTTAGTTGTAAACTGTTCAAATAGATGGGGGATTGACGTCAATACATAGCTATTGAAGAATACCTTTTTTTATTTCTAACAATCCTCTTGACAATAGTTATGTGGTGTGTGGTACTGATGTCGACGGGTGTAAGTAGTATGTATCACCAATCGAAAGTGAAATGCCTGTCGGCTGATGTTTAAGATGATCGAAGAAAAGAGAATGAGAACAGAGAATGATCGCAGTGAGAATGAATGAATAGTGAAGTCCGAAACGATTGACTGACATTTTGCAAATTAAGTTATTACTGTATGGTTCTCAGATTTTACTAATCTGTTCTGTAATTTTGTATTCAATTACATTCGATTGATCCCCACCTGTATTCTCATTCACTACAGTTATAGCTGTTTTTCAAAGATATACAGCACTGTATTATTCTACTTTCATATTCATACCAGTATAACCCATGTATCTATTCTATAGAAGTCAATTCTATCTCATTCATTCATTTATTATATTTTCCTGAATGTTCTAAGATAATTCTATTCATTTATTCGATTGTGAATGTGAATGGATAAAATTTTATCTTACACCCCTTTATTATGTTGAAAACAGTAAAGAAGTAAACATTCAAATAAGTGAAACCATGGGAACTTTAAAAAAAATAAGTATTTTAACCTATGATTATCTAATTGATCACTGTTACCATTAGTTAATTTATTAGATTCTACTGCATATATATATATACGTACTTGCCTCAAATAATATTGAGTTAAGGGCGGAAACGAATCATTCAATGTAAAAGTTCTATTTCATTATATTCGAGAATTTCCATACTGATTCACAAGTGAATAGAATTAAATAAAGTCGAATAATTCATTACTGGAAGTGTGATAAACTCTATTAACTATCGATTTATATTACAAAATGAGTCTTGATAGTGATTCAGGTAATGATGAAAGCATTTTATAATGTTTTGGTTACATTTAAAATTTATAATGAGATAGCATGACTATAATTTATGGACAAATCAATCATGTAAATGATAAGACGTCTTGAATTTTGGCATGAAATTCATTCATCCATTTGGATAAATAGAGTTTTGGCATTCTAACTGATATCAGTTCGTGATGAAAACCCTAAATCTAATTTTTAACCTTAACGATCAACTATAAGTCAGAATTCTAATTCCTCACACAGGTTTATAACCCTAAGTTGGTCCTGATTATTAGCTGGACACTCTCAAGGTCAGTCTAGCGTCACTTGAAGATCGTCTATAAATTATAGTCTCACCGTTTATGTAGTTCATGCTTTTCAATAATTAACGTTTCTTATATTTAAAGTTTCGAATGTTTTAAAAATCAGTTATACTCTAAGTATGATAAGCTTATTATGAATCTGGTTATTGAAGTTTTCCTATTAGAAATATAATTACTGATCTATATTGATTGGTGATGGCATTTTGTAACATTTTACAGACTAGTATTACCTTTATTCGCTAAATTTCTTCTCTGGTGTCATGGTCATGAAAACGTTTTTTAATTCATTTGTTTTATTATGTCGTTTTTACCCAATATCATTTCGTAAATCCATAAAATTCGAGATGTATAAACATTGGAATTGACTATTGGTTATGTTCAAATAATCATCAGTGTCATACAACTTCAACATCATAATCGTTTATCTATCCTCATGGTCTGGTGTGTGACGAAATCTCAGCACGGATATAGAAGGATCGACTAGCTTTTGCCAACTTACGTCATTTATGATGTAGGTGAGATATCAGTCTACTAAACAATGGACGGGTGCACTGCGCAGCAGTTCGTTCCGTCCTACTTTATGGCAGTGAAACATGGCCGGCAAGAGTAGAGGATATTCGTAAGTTACCAGTATTTGATCACACGGTGTCTTCGAAGCATTGTGCGTATATCCTGGGGCCGCAGAGTAATTAATGCAGTTATTTGGAAACGGGTACTAGGTAAGGATGGCAAATGAATTGATGAAGTAGTGAAACTTCATCAGTTGAGATGGCTTGGACATGTGTTACGTATGCCCAACCACCGACTACTCCAAAGAGCGATGTTTTATGGCGTAGGAGTAGGTTGGAAGAAAGATAGGGGTGGCCAGAACAAAACATAGCACAAATCCATCAAGTCACTGACAAGTGGACTGAATAAGCCGTGTTGATAGGTTTAGACTACCTGGTTGGGATCCGCGAGACGATAGCAATCGATGGTTGGAGACCTTGAATGACATGGCTCAAAATCGTTTGCAATGGCTCAGATGCATCCTCTCTTTGTATTCTTCCAAATTCTAATCTTCTCAGTTCTTCATATCCCCTTTTTTCTCTTTCCAAGTTTTTTTCACTGTATCATACTCATTGAATAACATCTTCAAACTCTAATGTTTCCGATTACTGTTTGTACTATTACTACCTCTACCACTATGGGATTCGTATCGACAATTGTATCAATGTGCTAATGTGGTATGGCAACTCGTACTGATGTACGTACGTACGAAGTTCTACGTTGTTATTGACTGACTGACTGGCTTGGAAAGTATAAATTCTAAAAATGTCCAACTAGTTATTTCGCTTCTTAACTGATAGTATTGATAAAACTGACTCCAATATGTGGATGATAGATTGTTACAGCTTTCATAATCACAATATTCAGAGTAGTAAACTCATTTTTCAAAACTTATCTACTAAAATCTTGTAAGGAATCTGTACTAAAATCTACTTTTTTAACTGTATGTTTACTTAATTCTTCATTACATGTATTTGAATTACAGTAACCGAACATCACGTATCTTTAATTTGGTGTTATCGGTTAACAGTGAGCTTTAAAGAGAAACTCTGTTTTTCGGTGATATTTTATTTAATAAACTTGCTATCTACTTATAGATGATACTAATCAACAACAGAGAATTGGTCTAGAAGCATACATAGCAGGTATGTGATAATTATTCTTATATTATCTGTAAATACTAACCAAATTAAACTGTGTAGCTGTATTACTCACCTATTGAATAACTACTTCTATGTTACTAAGGCGATTATTCAACATATAGGATGATGTTAATTTATAGTTCATTTATGAAAGTTAGATAAGTAGTGAATGTCAATTGTTTACTGTAAATCAGTCTGTATTGACTAGCTTTTCATTCTGTTTTTTTTTTGTTATTTGACTAAAATCTAATCCAGAAGTAGGTTAGAGTAGTTCAATTATGAATACGCTCAGTCACTAGTCATTGAATTCAGTAAATTCATATAAAAGGAGGATAACATTTTGCGTTGTCAAGTGAACCAAATATATTTTTAGATTCAATTACACTTTTTGTATGATACTGTAGTTATTAACCCAATCTTAATGATAGCTCAATTTCTACAAACATTATTTCATAATTGTCTTAAATTTCAATAAACTGTCTTGTCAAACACACACATATTGATTCGAGGCAGCGGTTACAACAAACAGAGTAACTTCATCTTTATTATAAATATAGACGACCTAATTTCAATATTTTGGAAACAAATTATTGTCAATTTTCAAAATATCAGATGGGGTCTTTGTGGATATTATAGTTGTTTCAATCGTTGAGATCATTAGTAAATTGAAGCTAGACCACCATAGAACACCTGGAAGCACTGAACTCCTCAACAGTGAGCATTTTTGACCAGTGGAATTCAACCGGGTCTCTTGTGAGATAGTAACTCACTAATGACAGTGGTGGATATGTCGCTCAATTCCGTGGATTAGTTGACGTTAGATATTAACACCGTTGGATGCCAGCTTAGTGGTCTAGTGGTTAAGCGCTCGCCCACGAGACTAATGGGTCCTGGATTCGAATCTCTCGAGGCGAGATCGTGGATGCGCACTTCTGAGGAGTCCCACAATAGCTTCAATAGACTCATAATCTCAACTATTGAAATTTCAAAAATGTAATAAGAAAACGCAATGGACTTCTACCTGAAATTTGTGCTGATGGTGTCGTTCACAAGAACGATCAAAGCTCCACGACTAAACCATCCAGCTCAGAGCACACAACTCCACTAAATCGAACTGTTAAGCTTGACATACTCGTATGATAAAGTTAGAACCATTAGAATGCACATTTACTCATTATGACATTTTATTGGAAAACCAAAAAAGTTCTAATGAATGATTATCAGTAAAAATATACTGAAGATAGATGGCATGATGAAGAAAGAATAAGAAGTCATAAGATAACTTCTAATATTAATAGTGATTTTCGGACTACCATAGTGGATGAAAATTGAATAAGATTGTTCATACATAAAGTAGACATACATATTTTAACGGCTGAGGTTACCATACAACTAAGAGTGAACCATCTAGGTCAATCTTATAAACAGTTTTATTCATATCCCTTGTGATAAAGGAAGATGGTTGATTACCTGAATTAGTACTTTTGATCTATTTGACCTTTTTAATTTAAATGACTTTTTTGTTTCATTAATTACCATAAAGGTAAATGTACGATCTCATTATTCTAAATTTAATGCTTAAGTTCATCTTACTTACAAAATCAGCTTTCACTTTTCACTCCACTTTCCAATTTATCAATTTGTTACATTTTATTTTTAAATAATCCACAGATACAATATGAATTTTAGTCAGAATTTTGCATCTTCAGGTTTGTAAACTATAAATTTGTTCGGATAGTTTCTCTTTTTAGACCAGTAGCTGATAACACTCAGGTTGAGAAGTACTTACTTACTTACATACGTCTGTTACTCCCAATGGAGCATAGGCCGCCAACCAGCATTCTCCAACCCATGCCCAACTTTCCTCCTTTATCCGGGTTTGGGACCAGTAGTAGCCTCAGGGGGGCTCCAGGCGGAGGTGTAACTATTGGTTCATGGTTTCAACGATAAAATATTGTTAAGTGTACACTAATTCTTAATGATAGATTAGTCAATATTTTCATTTAGATAAAACAGCATATTTTATCGGGTTATTCTTAACTAACTGCTCAATTAATTCTGTTTTATTTTGGGGTTAGCAATCTATGGACAGCATGAAATATTGAACAAACTACTAGAGGAATTCGATGTAAGTTACCAAATCTACTGATGTTTTCGGTATGGAGCGATTTGTTTTATTTAAAAAAAACTTCCGATACGATGAAGTCCGACACTCTGAATTAACATTTTACTTATTTTTAGTACATGTATTTACAATAATTCTATGAAGCCTAAGTTGGTATGAAATCACAAATTTGTCTTGCTTGTTATCTTAAATAATTTTTGAAACATAACTTGTCTACTATTCTTATTTTAGTAGTTCATTTGAATTTTTCAAAATAAATGTGATGGTTAAGTAAATAAATACCTGAGTACAGTCCTGACAAAAGTTCGATATGCATAAAATTGCTTATCTACTTACAAATGATCGTAAACTTATTAATTTAACTAAGATGTAAAGCATTTGGGAGTGACTTCAGCTAGGAAAGTGTGTTTATTTGGAAATATATTTTAAAAATGAGAAACATTCAACTGCTAGTAACCAGGAACACTGTTGTCAGTATGTTGTTGTGAAGATTGTTGGATTTCTTTCAAATCATGATCCTATTTCCACATCTCAGTGACGAGCTTCGCGATGTAGCTTCTGGGGATCTAGTGAAAAGCCGTGACGAGTATGGTTCAGTTTTGTCGGGTATGAGGCAGTTACCCACTGAAGACACTGGAAGATGGAAATTAACAATGATGCCGTTGGACGTCAGCCCAGCAGTCTTGAGTCTAAGCATTCACTCGACACAGACGGTTCTGGGTTCGAGTCCTACGTGCGGGATCGTGGACATGCGCCGCTGAGGAGTTCCATACTGGGATGAAACAGGTGTACAGTGATTCTAGGCGTTCAATAAAGTTCCAACTTAGAAATCATCACCATTGCTGAGAAACAATCTACTAATTTAAAATAAACCATTCCTTAGTTCCTGAAGTTTTCAAATAACAATAGAAGAAAGTTGCAAGACTAGTTTTTTGCCAACGTTTATTAACACTAGCAAACAGTCTACTAATAGTCACAATGAAAAGGCATTAAAAGACTAGTCTTTTAATATGACGGGGATCTTTAAACGATGAAAAGGCATTAATTGAAGTCTATTAATGTCACTTCATTAAGAGTACATATCAGCTAGTTGATAAACAGATTAAGTGTTATAAATATGAAAAAATAACCAAACCCTTTACAACTTAACTGATATTTATATTCAGAGAGTAGTTTTGTGGATTTTATAGTGAATTCGTACTGCTGGGTAGTTACATACTAAGACAAAACGGCCGTCCAGTGCTTCGAGGGTTTCCATGATGGTATAACCTTAATTGACTCATGAATTCAACTATCAAATTGATATTCATATGATCATTTATCTAAGACATCCGCTATAAACGTAGATGAAATCAGAATCTAATAAATGGGTTTAATATAAATAGAACTGAAACTCATTCATTCAGTCAAATAATCATAACTCTTGATTTAATTATCAACTACTATTTATCAGCTTTATTGTTCTTTGTTAATATTAACCAAATGCATTTGTTGTAGTATAAATTATGTTATCAGAAATATTTTAATATTTAGTGTATTTCAATCAATAAAACTTGATCAGGTAACATTGTATTCAGATGAATTGACTGGAATGATGCCTATACATGCAGCTGCAGCTTGGGGAAATCCAAAATGTTTGGAAGTGAGTTATATATTATTTATACTTCAATTCCTGATAGTCATGTATAATGCTTTTCTACTATATTAACACTTCGAAAAAGTGAGGATTTTACTTTATAGAATGTAGAGTTGTAGTGACCTACTTTTATCAAGAGAACGTGATTGGTTTAATGAAAACAATTATTATCATAACCAATTGTAACAGTGATTGTTTTACTTTGGTTGTTTGTTTAACTGTACTAAAGACATTCTTCCTTTCGTTGATTGTGACTTTGCACGGATTCGGTTACGCTCAGTAACCACACTTGTACTCCTTTGACACGATCTCGATATTCTTTCGATACCACGAGCTCGCCAACAAATACATCTTGCCTACAGCCATCAACTGCCTTCTGATATTTGGCCTACGGGGGATCTTATCGGTTAACTGACACGCAGTCTTCCTTTAGTGTTGATCATAGTCAACCGCGACTCGATGCCATACAACAGAGTAATAAACTTGCTTGACACAAACAGATTTCGTATTTGTTTCACAGAACTAAACAGAGTAGTTTAATACTTCCGAATCATATAGATTTAGGTTGAATACAATCAGCTGGAATATTACTGAGATGAGAGAGATAATGAATTTGGAAGGAAGTTGAGTAAAGATCTATCCAAATTATAAAACAATTTTTCAGTAGTAAATGAGTAATATAATTAGTGGGATCAATCTAGTCAGTTCTTTCTTCTTTTTGTTTTCTTCAGATCTATTCAGAAAACTGTTCATGTAATTAGATCTCTAGAATCTTTAACATTAACGTACTCACAAATCGTTATTCTTAACATTTTTAGACCACAAAGTGTTTGATGTACTTCATTTTGATTCTGAATGTTTTAAGAATAAAGCAAAGAATTTCTGATTGTTTTACAGTTTCTATAACAATATTCAATTTTTTATACAACTAAGGTAACTCTTGAAGGTGGCAGCATAGAAACAATAATTTCTCATAGAACAACATACAATATTTAACTTTCATGAAATGATAATTTCACTTTTTGATTTTAAGCTTTTTATCTCTTTCACATTTTTGGTTTTGAATGTTGATAAGTCTTGTCGACTGAACGCTATATTCGTTCCTAAGCTATTCTGATAACTCGCACGCTAGAACTATACAGCGATCTGAACACCAGAAAGAAGACGCAAAGTATGAGAGAGACACTTTACTCCAAGGTTTGTTTTTGTACAGAAAACATGGGTATTTATAGATGTTAACGTTTGTTAAATCAACATCATATTTCGGCCAATCCGTTAACGACATATTATGCTACTGACCAATAGTAGCACAGCACGTTAGAATTCCAGAATGCTCCATCATGCTCTGATTGGCTAGGACTCTTCGATTCCTTTTGGGCCTCTGAAGGCTCCATTGAAGTTCTCCGAAAGCCGACTCAACAGTTGTATTGTCACCAAGTTTAACAATTTGATTGAATCATACAGGTTTTCACAAATCGGTATATAGACTTTTCAGATATAGTCATCCCTAAGATTATATCCACAACGTGACTTTAGCGAGTCATAGTTATTAAAATGTCACTTGTTATTGTCTGTATGAATTTTCACTTAGAATTATTAATACACTTTACTGACTATCTGTTATATGTTGTAGTATTGTGCTCCTATCAATATGTAACGCAAAGATATAGCCAATTAGAGAACAGTGAATTATCGACCGGATCAACGACGCATAAACCCGTACGAACAGTCTAGAGTCATTATCGGTCCTTCTTCTTGCTTAGTCCAGTCAGTTAAGTCCAGAACACCAATCTCAGCCTCTGCAATATGAATCATTTATGTCAAGCATACTGGGTTTATATACCAATCAAACAGACCACATCTTACCATAAAAGGGAAAATAAGATTTGTACAAGAATTAGCCAAATGTGGCTATGAATATGAGCGATAGTAATTGATAGACAGGGGATAACGCAAGAATGGTAAATCGTATAATAATAGTTTATAGGTCAAAATAAAGCTTGTAATAGGAGGAACATGAATATAGATAGTTTACTTGCTTACCAATTATACAATAAAAATTTGTGTATCGTATTTGTCCATCACTAGTTCTCAAAAGTTACCACCCACTATTCTCGTCGTGATATAACACTATCCAGTGAAATTTTGACTGGTTTTTTTTTCAAGTTAGTTTACATATATGTTTTAAGAATGAAATGAATACTTACCTATTCGATGAACTGTATTTTAGAAGGACTATTCACCATGGAATAGGACTTCAAAAGGAATTCCTTAGCTTTATAGGAAATATCATATCTTGTTTCAAGTTTCATTATATGTTCCATATTTTCAGGTTAGTTTGCGGATTAGTTTGTTGAGTTGTCAAAATGCCATTAGGAAAAAAATGTAAAGATTCTGTTCTTCACAGAGTTGTGTGATTGACCGTAATATCATGTTCATTCATTGTAATTGGAAATGAAATCTTAAACTTTGTCCATCATTTCTCCTTAACAATGAACGTGTGAACAATAATAAATTCTTGTTTAAAATCAATGAATTAGTTTACATATAACTTTTCATCTTTTCATTTATTACATACATGATTCAATACTTTAAAAGTATTTTACCACTTTCTTCTCTCATATATTCAGGTACTTGTCCGACATGGCTGTAATGTGAATCAACTGGACTCGATGAACTGTTCACCTGTTCACCATGCAGCAAGAAATGGACATAATGGTAAGATAATATGTCAGTTTGATAATGAAATGTGTAGATATTCATTTAAGGATTATTATTAATCTGTTATAGGTAACATGAGCAATAGTTTTTGTTTTCTGTCGACTGATTTCAAGTTCAAAAGTTAAACAACTTTTCTGGATTCCTTGTTGAACTATGAAATGTTGTTCTCATAATACACAATTTTTAAATGGTAGGTGGGTAGTGGATATGAAAAGATCATCTAGATGATCAGCCAGATAATGAGCAAACAAGGACATTTTAATTTAGATTATATATATGTATTTATATTCAAAACCTAAATATTCTTAGTAAAATAGCTGTTTTCGTCACGAACTGAAACCGTCAGAAAGATATAAACCATTTTTTTTTAAAATAAAAAGGCATAATGTAAGTCTGAGCAATCACACTCATCATTTACAATTTGTTCACAATGTATACATATTCTTCTGTTTGTTTTCGCAATAAATCTTGGTTATGTGTAACTGAATAAGTTTTCAGTATCGAATGAATCTATGGTAACTCTAATATCTTGTTGTTCTAATCGGGTTGATGAAACTTTAGAATAATTTTCAGTAATAACACCAAAATAACTCTAGTCACAATATGAACTTTACAAATACATCAGAGAATCTGTACTGTTTACTGTGAATGAAGTATGGTGATGGTGTCCACTGGATAGATTTGACGAGCACTACAACACTATATAGAAACGTGTGACCTAAATAATGGACACTGCACAACGTGATTGCAAGTACTTTAAATCCTTATAAATCCTCATGCTTGATATTACATAACAGATTTATTAAGTAATGGTGCTAAGGTCTTCAATTCAAGCATAATCGTTTACACACTCTTCTTCCACTTATAAAGTGTGCGTAATGTTTATTTGAAGTAGGGACAGTAACTTGTATTAAATTTATCATATTTTTCTACAAATTAAGTGATGTACGAAGAATAGTATCATCAGGACAAATAGGTTTACGTGAAATCTCTCATATTTCATTTATACAATTGATTGCTTCCAATAAAAATAATTTCATAACTCGAAATAGTTTTTCGAGAGAAATTTTATGTCCATCATGTTAGATCAGATGTCAGTCTATTTGAACTAACCTTTTATTGATCATAATTGTCTAATGAATCAGACATTTTCTACGATAGATAAAACTCATGAGTGAGTTAAACAGGACTTAATTACTATGTTATATCCTGAACTAAATTTATATACTTCACAAAGTGAAAGTTTTTAACTGATCTTTGTGGAGTTAGGTGATAGTTTCACATTAAGCTGCAAACGTCTTGCTCAATTCTTTATGATTTTATAGATGAATTCATGAGACAACTAAAGTTAGACCACCATGTACCAATAGGTCCTTGGTCCAAATTCTCACAGACGGTCCTGGGTTCGAGTCCTACGTGCGGGATCGTGGACGCGCTGCTGAGGAGTTCCATACTGAGACGAAACAACTGTCCAGTGATTCTAGGCGTTCAATAAAGGTCTAACTTAGAAATTATCACCATTGCTGAGAAACAATCTACTAATTTAAAATAAACCATTCCTTAGTTCCTGAAGTTTTCAAATAACAATAGAAGAAGGTTGCAAGACTAGTTTTTTGCCAACGTTTATTAACACTAGCAAACAGTTTACTAATAGTCACAATGAAAAGGCATTAATTGAAGTCTATTAATGTCAATTCTTCAAGAGTACATATCAGTTAGTTGATAAACAGATTAAGTGTTATAAATATGAAAAAATAACCAAACCCTTTACAACTTAACTGATATTTATATTCAGAGAATGGTTTTGTGGATTTTATAGTGAATTCGTACTGCTGGGGAGTTACATACTAAGACAAAACGGCCGTCCAGTGCTTCGAGGTTTTCCATGATGGTATAACCTTAATTGACTCATGAACTCAACTATTAAATTACTATAATATCCACAAAACCCCTTTCTGATTAGAATTCTTTATAAGACTAAATTCGACCTGTTCGTATAAGCATTGGTTTGATGTGATTATTGCTGTAAAATATCCCATTATTTGCTCATATTCTTTACTATGTTCGACTTATCTAGTCTAATTCGTTCATAATTTTCAGAAACGGTAGAATGGCTTATGAAGAATGGAGCAAGTCTTGTGGAATTAAATCTTTTTGGTCAGAAACCAGCAGATTTAGCTTTAGCTAATAATTTCCCTGATTTGGCAGATGTAATTCGTAGAGGAGGTTAGGTCATCTTTTACATTATATTAAAATGATTAATTCGTGTTATTCATACAACGTTCGTTTTTTACCTTTTACTTACTTACGCCTGTAACCTCCAGTGAAGCGTAGGCCATCGACCAGTATTCTTCAAACCACTCTATCATGGGTCTTCCTTTCCAGTTCTATTCAATTGTTGTTTATTCTTCTTATGTCCACCTCTATTTCTCGGCGTAATGTGTTTTTTGATCTTCTTTTTCCCCTTTGGCGTTGAGGATTCCAAGTGAAGGCTTGCCTTGTGACACCGTTGGGTGTTTTCCTTAATGTCATATCCACTTCCACCACTTCTTCCTGATTTCTTCCTCCGCTGGAATCTGGTTTGTGCTCTCCCACATTAAGTTGTCGCTGATAGTGTTTTGTCAACTTCTATGCTATACACATCGATAGTCGATAATATTAAAAAACAATTGTGCTATTTATAAAGTTCTTATCACAACTCTTCAATCATGTCGGTTATCACGGTTAACACAACACGATGTTTTAGCTATTTGAATGTTGAAAAATAAGGATTCAAGGATATAGAATGAAATTTTCCAATGAAACGAATGTTCAACATTCCACGAAATATTATGTCGACAATATAATTTAAATTAGTTAAGGAACCCTAACCTCTGTGTAGTTTAAGCATTAAACTACATAAACTATTTACATTCATATTATCAAATGAAATCATATTTCGTGTTTACATCAAAATCTCTTTCAATCATTCTAGAACTTTTACCTAAAAATATTAAGCGAACTATGGAACCATATTCTTCTTTTAAAATGATACAAGCTGAATGGATGCATTCAAAAACATTCAGCATGTAATTTATAATAAAACACTAACTATCAATGTATAGCAAACATTGACAGTATCTGTAGACCCAGTTCCTCTTTACAGTAACCTACAAAAATAGATTTAGATAATTCTGTTAGCAGAATTAAAATGAGTCAATGGTCATTGTTCATTCTCTTCACAAACTTCTGTATTATGATTGTTAAGTTTGTCTTACATTGTTCCTACTCTCTTCTTTTCCACTCTTTTGTATATTGTTTTATACTACTTATTTACATTCAGTAAGCAGTTGTATTCCCAACAATTTTCACACTCATGTTGTAGTGTAATATTCTGAGATGTTCGCATATACTCATAACGTTTATTGTACTTATCATTGTATTTATCATTATAATCACTGTACCTTAATCGTTGTAGCGGTTATCCACAGTTTTTTGCATTTGTTTAAACGCAACAGTTTCCATAATGTTTTGCTCTTGATTCGGGTTTCTGCTGTTCATAAACTGTTATCAAATTTAGACACAGCTATTAGCTGTCCTTTGTACTATCGTATGTTGTAATTATTCTTTGTGTTACTGTTACAGAAAGCCTTTTCATTTTCACACATGAAAGACGCGTTTAAACGCTTCAGACACCTCAAGAGTTGAGGTTTGTAACTAAAATTTGTGTATTATTCAATAAATAACCGCTTTTGTAGACAAATCGTTGTTTTGGAACTTCGGTTTCGCGCGTATCTCAGTCGGGTGACCTAGAAACTTCGATAGATCTAACAATGATGTGGTTATTTTTATCAAAGATTAATTTACTATTCACAACTAATTATACATTAGGGGAATGACAAAGTACAAATTTCACTTAGGATATAATCAAGTACAGAAAAGAATAGATGAAGAAAGGAAAAAAACCATATTGAAGCGTGAAACTGTAGATATCGTCATTACTGAAGATTCGGACAATATTCTCGTTTACTCTTTCAATGACTATTTTACAATTATACTGTAAGCTAATGTATGCAACATAATCTATGTCTCGTGAGATACGGGTTTATGTTTGTGGCGGTGGTGGTAGTGGGGGTGGTATGAGTAAATTACTGCTAAAAATGATTAATCAATATAAAGTTGTCATGATTTATGTTGGGGACGTTAGATCCCCAGAACTCACTTAAGAAAGGACCGAATTTTGTAATTTAATTAGAAAATTTGAATTTGTTTTCGCGCCAAAGGCGCTCTTGTCACCTTCATGTCGTATTTCCCACTGGGAACTACCCTAAGTGCTATTGGTCCGTTGTGTCCTTTAGTATGCTATTTGGTAACTCTCCATAAGGACGGTTTTGTGCAGTATATATACGTTTTGATTTGTGTTTGCTGTTATCGCTCGTTTCTGGCTGTTTGCGGAATACACTTCCCCATTTCAAGCTTGGACTTCTCCCTCTAGTTAGCGGAGCTGGGACGCATCAATAGCTAGCTTACTGGTCCTTGGTCACCGAGTCTTGTTCTCGTTCGCCGATTAAGTGAACTCGTGATAGCTTCAAACCTAGAAAGCCTATCGATTCTTTGAATCCTTGATTCTTCTTTCCGTAAGACGAATTAGTAGTAGCATCCAAGTTAAAGAACATAACAATTTATAAAATACTATAATCACAATGATATTTCAATAATATAAAGACATCTAGATTCAAATCTGATCTTATTCAGTGAGTTCTTTCAACTTCTAATCAGTTATTTAATGACATATTTACATGTTTTACACTACAATAAATAACTTTTAATATTGAATTTCTCTTTAATTCTCTCCGTATTTCTATTGTTTTTTTTTAATAATTTCCCCTAACAGCAAAAAAACAACTAAAAGAATTGGAATCAAAACCACTACATCCAAGTGATTCCATTGAATTATTATAAAAAGAAAACTGAAGATCATTGATTCATCTCATAACATTTCAAAATGAATTCCAATGTTGAATATAATGCTATTATTCATTAAATAAAACAAATTTATAACATTGCACAAATATTATAGAAAAACTGTGCTTTTACTAAAAGTTTTTTGAACTTACTAACGATTTGATTGGTCCCACCCCCCGGTCTCTCACATTTTCCGGATATTTCATGTACCTAACTTAATTGTTGCTCTGGTTGTTAGAAGAGGCATCGACCTCATAGCTTCCGAAGAATCTCAGCTTTGATAATGAGACATAACAATTTTTCTGATTAAAGATCCTTCAACTCTGAGGTCACAGTTAAAATGGTTTAATTTGTCTATTTTAATTAGCGATCGTTTAGTAATATTATTTTCTACGGGATGGGGTTGCTGAATTCATACATAACTCTACTCCTTTATCCGGGCTTGGGACTGGCATTAACACTAGAAGAGCTACAGGCGGAGTTAGAACTTTTTGAAGATTATCTCAAGAATATCTGCGCAATCGAACAAAACTTTGGGTATAGAAATGAAATGATGACTTTCCCATAGTTGATATAAAACTATACTCTTGATTAGCTTGAATAAAGATCTTGAATATATGGCCTCATGTAACGTTCAATAATTTATAAACTAAATTCTTATGGTATAACTTTAGGCTATACAAGTGTTTTATATGTAGATTTAAAAATGACACGATTTGAAAATGTTTGTATTTTTATTGTCTACACTAAAATCTTCTAGAATAGATCAACAATAAATTGGGGATCGATATATGCCTTATGTTTGCATTAGATCCATAAACTCTGAACTGAAAGTAAGATCCATCTCGTTTACTCTGGAAAGTTACATAGAAAAATTAACTTCGTCTTAACACTAACTGATATTTGTCCGAATAAAAACGTCGACTTAGTCCACTTTTAATGATGAAAAAATCCTCTATTGGAAAATGATCCAAGGATGAAATGTTTTGTTAGAAACAAAATGGTGATCAAGTGAAACGAATGCTTCAGTGGTTAATTTGTATGTATACAAGAGACTTGATTTCCTCTTCTCAAGGATTTACATAGACCTTATTGCTGGGCTCAAATTACCTAACACACAATAAATGAAGTTGAAACTTTACGCCATGTATCTACTAAGCCATTAAACCCAGATTTTTGCAGAAATAAAACGTCTAGATATTTTAACACTATTTTCTTACTAAAAAATTAACCCACTCAGTGAACAATCAATTGTAAATACATCTAAGTCCTACAGAAAGTCAGTCGTGGTCCGGATAGCTCAGTGGTAACGTGAAGCTGGGTGACACGGGATCGACTACATCAGGGTGCGTCAGTTCCCTGAGGTACACTTTGCTGACGAGTGTCAATATTATATGACTTTATATTTTATGTTCCATATTTGATATTGCTCTAGTAAATTTAACAGAAAAGTGACACTCAAAAACTTCAGTACCCTGAACTCTGACAGTGATGCATACTATAATTTAGAAACCCATTTATTCAATTAATAATAATAATTTTGGTATCCTATTCATCATAAATAAACAAGTAACGTTATTGAATCCGTTATGTGAGTGCCCTTTTAAAAGATGCTTTAGATGCTGATGGCTTTCTTGATGACATTATCATTAAGAGAAAGACTATGTACCCTTTCAGAGTAGATTCCCTAGTTACCAATAATTGGTTAAACGTTAGCGTCCGAAAGTTGATAAACAAAACTCAAGAGATTTAATTTCGTTTAATTTTCTACTAGTTCTTTTTATTGACATAATAATTTAGCAACTGTCTCTAGTCAAATTAAGAAATAAAAATTTCAGTATGGCCTCCAAAGTTTTTGGCGTTGGTGTTTCCTCTCAGCTAGATAGTTTGATTCCAGCGATTTAATTGTCATTCTAGGAAACCGTTTTTGTGTTTAACTTTACATGAAATAGGCATGAAAGTTGTTATTCAGAATGACATTGAACTTTCAGCAATTAAATAATCTAGTTAAGAAAACATAATTCCACCACAAGTACCCATCAGAGCTGCAAATCTCCATTAATTCATCTCTTAAGGTGTTGGATTTCCATACGGGAAATTAATCACATGTTCATATACATTTATAAATTCCTATCAGTATTGAGTTGTGGAGATTATTACGTCCTTGATTGAGACCGTGAACCGGTTGGTGTTAGACCACAATTGAAAACCTGAAAGCACTGGACGGCCGTTTCGTTCTATTGTGGGTCCCCTCAGCTGTGCGCATCCACGATCCTGGTTGTGGAATTCGAACCTAGGGCCTTCGGTCTCGCGCGCGAACGCTTAACCTACTAGACCACTGAGTCGGCATCCAATGGTGTTAATGTCTAATCTCAACCAATCCACGAAATTGCACGACCAGTTTCAATTGTACTGAGGTAGATATCTATCTCTACCCGACATAGATTAGCTCCATTGATCACCGCTCCTCACTAGAACTCCGATAATTCCTTCACGAAGCTAGTCACTAGTGAGCACATGGTAATTATCAATATTGGGTTGTAGAGATTATTAAGTTTTTGATTGAGATCATGAACCGATTGTTATAAACAATGAGATGACGTTCGTTTTGAGTTGGTTTCTTGCAAACGCTTCCCTCATCTCAAAATTCCATCCAACTGATTAACAACAAAATCATTTCGTTCAACTAATGAAACTGGAACACTTCAATTGACTTCTTATTAAACAAATACTGAATACTCAATATTTCTATGGGTTATATTTAACCGAGTTCTATGTATGTGGTCTAAAGTACTACACTGGGTATTAAATTATATTTTATTCATTATCGGACATAATCTAAACACTAAAACTTGGCCAAACATAAAGTTTCATGCTTATGCATATGAAGAAAGATCCCTTAAAATTATTCTCATTTATTTATAAATCACATTTTACACTTTACTACTATCATTAATTTAAGTAGAAACCTGAGAAAAGATAAAAAAAATTGCACACCTGAAAAGTAATATGAATATGATTTTCCATTTTGGTTACTACATACACTAAATACATAATTATTAGACAAAACAAGAACATGAAAACAAAATTTTGGTAATGTAAACAAACTATTTATTTATTCATTTTTATCCAAGGTCAAGTTGATTCAAGTGACATAATGAAATAAGAAATAAATAAAAATGAAACATTAAGACATGTGAATTATTGTTATAATGAATAATTAATAATTAGAATCATGTTTAAGGTATGGAATAAGAAGAAGAAGAAGACAAAGAATAAGAATAAGACGAAGAAGAACTGACTAGTTCAACTGAGGTCATCATGAATCAAAAGAACAACAACAAAAAGGTTTAATGATGTCATAAAAATAGTCTACTAAACATCAAAATATTTGCCTCGAGAAATTCTCTTTTTCTTTCTTCTTCTTCTTCTTCTACAAATGGAATAATTTAGGCGTATACATGAGACCGCAGACAAAACATAACTTATGGACAAAGGATATGAAGTGTTATGTCAACAACCATCACCACCACCACCACCACAGCAACAAAAACTATTTGTTTTATCACCATGATCACGTTAAATGTAAACATTTCACCTCACTATTTTTGTTTTTCTAAAAATATTAAACTATAAATAAACTAATTAGGAAATAATGTTTTATTCAGAAGTTGGTATACCGCAATTTCTATAATTGAAACAATTGGTAATTCAGTCTATAAAATAAATTTATTAAGTCAGTATTTGGATTCCATATTCCTGATACATGCATGAATTATAACTCTGTTAGATTTAATGATGTAGAGTAAAAAAAAAAACAAACATTTCATAGAAGTAATCTAATGGCTTTGTAAACGAATGGATAATAATGAGTTGAACTTACTTAATTTGTAATTGACTAATCCAATTTTTGGATTTGTTGAATTACAAGTTCATATTCTTCAAGATTTTGTTATTTACAGTGGGAACTTTTATTAAAAAGAAATAAGTGATGTATTAGATGATTGTATTCTGTCTTTTCTAAACACATGAATATGACAACATGCATAGACTTTAACCCTAAACCTAACACTGATGAGTTCAACAAAGCAACTTATTTTAGTCAAATCTGATGCTTGTTGAACAAAATAGATAAAACAAATATACTTACTTACTTACTTACGCCTGTTACTCCTCGTGAAGGAGCATAGGCCGCTCACCAGCATTCTCCATCCAACCCTGTCCTGGGCAATCCTTTCTAGCTCCGTCCAGTTGTAATTCATCGCTTTCATATCTGCTTCTATTATCCGACGCAATGTGTTCGTTGGCCTTCCTCTTTTTCGCTTCCCTTCAGGATTCCAAGTTAGGGCTTGCCTCGTGATGCAGTTCGACGATTTGCGTAATGTATATCCTATCCATTTCCATCGTCTTTTCCTAATTTCTTCTTCAGCTGGAAGTTGGTTTGTTCTCTCCCACAGAAGGCTATTGCTGATGGTATCCGGCCAATGGATGTTGAGTATCTTGCGAAGGCAGCTATTTATAAATACTTGTACTTTCTTGATTGTGGTTGTTGTAGTTCTCCAAGTTTCAGCTCCATACAGTAGAACTGCCTTGACGTTCGTATTGAAGATTCTCACTTTGATATTGGTTGAAAGTTGTTTTGAGTTCCATATGTTCTTTAATTGTAGGAATGCGACCCTTGCTTTGCCGATCCTCGCCTTTACGTCTGCATCGGATCCTCCTTGTTCATCGATGATGCTTCCAAGGTATGTGAAGGACTCTACATCTTCCAGAGTTTCGCCATCAAGTGTGATTGGATTGCTGTTCTCCGCTTTGAATTTGAGGACCTTAGTTTTCCCTTTGTGTATGCTGAGGCCTACTGATGCAGAGACTGCTGCTACACTGGCTGTCTTTATCTGCATCTGTTCGTGTGTACGTGATAGGAGGGCTAGGTCATCTGCGAAGTCCAAATATGGTTTATTCTTAACATACTAGTTACTGATGAAGAGGAACTAATC